CTCGATTTTCTAGGATGGCCCTACTACATCTTAGAAAAATTGACTATTTTATACGCAATGTTTAACTTTATTGGATTTCTTTTCTCACTTTTAAAAGGAATCTACAACACATGTGCTATACACACACAAGTAAACAGACAAGCAAGTGTAGCACGCATACTATTTGCAGGATTTTTTGGAATCTTTTCTACATCTATAAACAAAATTCTTTTAGACGCACAAATAAAAGAATATAACACAAAAATAACAACACGACAAAATACATACGACGAAGAACATAACAATGTAGACATAACGCCAACGGCACCACAATTACCACCCCTACCAAATAACCATCCACTATCCCTAGTCCCACGAAATTTTCGAAACTTAGCCATCACACATAATCCAAATTTTCGACTCACCACATCACAAAGTCCCATTCAACATATAATGACACACCAATCACAAGATGATAATACTTATGAACAAATTATTGAACAACCCCATACCACCACTTTTCAGTCTCAAAATAATCATTTTTTTAGCCCACGATGAGCCGCCAACTTGGATCACTACACCGATCAAATTCCCACCCAACCAATCTTACCTCTCCAATCCCAATAATACCACTTTTTGCTTTTCCGCCACCCGATTTTCCATCTAGTAATGTAACATCAGGCATGAATTCCGACACTAATTCACACATCTCAGTTTTATACTCCATCTCACAGCTAAATAACCCGAATATTGAAACCCCCGATGAATTCGCCGACTCAGAACCATCCCCATCCAATAATTTTCAATACTCTTCTAATTTTTCTCAACCCCCTTTTCAACCCATATTATCCAATAACCCTGACCCAATTACTCCCACACCCTCTTATGCTTCCCAAGTTACCCCAACCTATTCCTCATACCATTCTGACCAATCATCTCATTCTCCAGACACCCCCCGAATCTCCCCAGAGCTAGATAATTTTATTACCCTTCAACAACAACCCTACCACCTTAATACCCCAACCATAAACCAAATCTCCTCCACAATAAATTCATCCAACCCCCCTACCCCTACACCCTCTTCAACTTATACTGAATCATTAGCACCATCATCCACATCAACTGAATCTTCACTCAACACTAATAGAGCTTACCGCACTTTTAAAAGAAAGTTCCCCAACCATCCTTTCCCAGCAAAACCAGGAACAGCCCGTGAATACATCAACCACCCCAAGCATACTAACACAAAAGAATTTTTAGCCATCACCTTACCCTCATTCCCACAATACACCTTAAACACCCCCCACGACACTAACGAAACACGCAACTTCGTAGATGAATACGTTTTAATGCCTACTCTCTCTTGGACCTCATATTATCATTTCACTAACCCTCTTTGCTTACCTTTATCTAACACTCACATCGATATAGAGCGAAATACGGACATGCTATATCGACTCACTACACCACTAACACCTAGACAATTTACTTACGTTGGATATAAAAAATCACTAAAAACACACACTGCACCTAGAGCTAACGAATATACACTCGAATACTATGATCACAACATCATCAGAGCTAACCAAGATCAATTCTTAGACGACGATCGCTTCGCTAATCCACAAATTACCGAGAAATTTTTCATCAAGACACCATATACATTCACACTAAACATCTTCGACCGAAAGTTTGATCACATTATTTCAGAAGCACTAACAGACACACAAGCATACGAAAGTTTTAAAGAACGCTTCCAAATATTTTCACTAACCTTTCATTTCCTTGCACCACACGAAAGAGATTTACACTGCTCACACGATATTATGTTGCGCACTAAACAAACCCACACATATAGTTATTATCGCTTCATCCAAAATCACTTTGACCTACACACACCCTATAGACAACCACACCATCGTTTTCAATTCATTAATTCCAAATACACTTCACCATTTTTCCTAAATTTCACATATTGTATTAAAGACACTAACCTCCATGGTATTCTTCGTAATTATGACCCCATAACCCAAATGTACATTTTCTGCCCCATCACCAAGACCTTCAACGCCGAAGAATCCCGACCCTTCCTTATCCCGCACGAGTTTGTACAACCCATAGAAATCTCAATTTTAGAATTCATCCACAACACTAAATTCAATCACAAATTATATAATCTAATCCAAAACACACCTTATGAGTTTGCAGTTGGCACTGAAGAACTAACCACTATCAAGGCACTTCAATTGCTTTGGCCACTGCTTCAAACTAAAAATATCATCCGCATCTTAGCTAAACTACTAACAACTTCAGAACTCATTCACGACATCTTCCCCCACGGTTTTTTCCCCGACGACTAACAGGTAAGTATGAATTAAATGAATATTACTAACTAATTAAAATATTAAAAAACTCACCATACTTTATTCATGTTTTCTTTAGATTTTTAGCCTTCATCCGACGATCACCTACAAAAACCACAAAAAACAAATAAATATTGCAAATTTCATCAAACAGATTTCAAAAATTCTATTAATCTCTTACACTTATAAATTTATAAATTTAATACCAATGCAGTAAATTCATTTCTAAAATTTTCCCCCACAAGCAGTAAATCTAATTATGATGAAAATTTGTATCTTAATATTCCCCCATGACTAGCAGTAAATTTCTAAATTCTATGTAGTAAATTAAATAAATGCAAATGCAGTACTAACCTTTTGATATTTTCATTCATTCGCACAGAAATTCTATCCACACTCGCACAGCTCGCCCACGAAGAATTGTTTAAAATAATGAATTTCAGTTTCAAGTTTTCACACTCAACAACTCTAACATATAATAACATGTTTCAAACTTTCCTTTAACCCGGTTGGAAAGGAATCATATACTAAACAAAACTAACCAACGCAGCTTACTAAATACCACAAATCATAGAATAACAGCATGACTTAGAAAAGGAAACCAACGGTACCCAAACCGGATTAACCCAGTTTAAAACTGGATAATTTATTCTTTTGAAGACTATTATAAAGTCTAAGAAAGAAATAATAAAACACAAAAAAGTCGAAAGACAAACCCATACCACAAACAATTTGATTTTTGAAAAAAGGACACAACCAACAAAACATAAGTAAGACCACAACAAACTCAACATAAAACGTTGTCACATAACAGGACCCCTCACAAAAACCGCATGAAATCATACTCCCACTCCTGGCCTAACCCACCAGGAAGGACGTCCTGAGCATGCTCTATAGCCGGCCTAACCCACCGCGCTACATCCACGCTTTGTGACCACACCACTATTTTTAATAAGAGCTACTCAAGTGTGAGTAACTCTTCAAAATAACCGAACTAAAACAAAAAGCTTTTGTGAAAACAACTAACTAAAATCATTATTAAAAAATATTAAACTAATAAAAGTTTTATAAAATGTAAAATCACATGATGCAATATATAGATCAGAATACAACACCAAGGACGAACATCAAAAGACAAGACGACCCCACTACACTCGAGAGAGAATGACCAACTACAATCGATATGCCGCTCACAATCACAACTCAAAGGATTTAGAGTACGACTTGACCTCGCAGAAAAGGACTTCATTGAACTAGACCAATGACCACCTCGATGTTCAAGTATACGTACAGATCCGAGTAACCAGGCATCCCCTCCACGCACAATCTCCACGCCATTCCCAAACTAGATCATACACAAAAGAAGTTCTCCACGCAGAACAGAAAAACCTGACATAGCAAACCATTCTGAAATCAGATTTGAGTTTGCTGCGAAGACTTAGTCGTTGTCACAAAAAGAACACAACGTCTTAAGTCTCTAACTCCAGCTTCCTGGAACTTCTTTAACAAAAAGGAAACGGAAGAAAATTATGATGTTCGCCAAACACCAACGTCCATCATCCATCCTTCGAATTGCAGAAGAACTATTCTAAAAAAACTCTGTAAAACCCGGATGGGTGGAACCTGATCTAAACTACATTTTATGATTGGATAAATTAAATGTTTTACCAATGTAAAGTATTTAATATTAACCAATCATGATCCATCTAACTAACAACCCACTTATTTGTAAGTGCTGAAGTTACTTGTAATTTCAGCACCAGAGAGATTTGAATTTAACTTAGAAATTAGTTGGACTCTCCCGAGCACTTCAGCAGCCGCAATAAACCAGTATACCCTAGATCTATTGAGCCTAGCAGAGACTAGTTAAACAACCTGAGACTAGATAGTATAAGAGTAAGATTAGGATCGGTATTAGACTAAGAAGTTGCACGAATCTATCCGGCCGAAAATAAGATAGCGTGACGAGCAGACGGTGTACCCTATCCGAAATTACTCTATGAGTTACACCTCGGTCTTAACTCATTAGGCTAAATGTAGTAGTGTTGCTTTCACGAGGCATGGACAAGTGTTTTTTTGGAAAAAAGTTTTAAAATTAGAATAAGAATTAAAAATAATGTTTTAATTATAAGAAAGAAATAGATTCACAGCTGTTGTGCTTTCTGAGGCATCCATCGGCAGATTTTTTTAAAGTTTTTTAGATGCTCTCTTAAACTTATAATAACCATAATTTTCTATTGATCAATAACCATAATTAACTCAATTTTCTGTATATATTTGGTGTGAAAATTTTTTGTTATTATGATTTTAATAAGAGACAATAATTTGAGGAAAAAATTGGGTAAAATTGGGCCACCTTTGCATAAATTTGCCGAACCTAGAATTTTTTTTTCAAAACTTTGAAATAAATAGTCTTTATATATTACTCATAAATTATACGTATGTCGGGATGTGTATACATTTTTTTCTTCTTTGATAAGCACCCATAGCTTGCAAATTTCTGATTCATCAGTTTCTTCACACCGTGGTTATGCAAGCAACCTTCATGGTGAACTAACAAGTTTCAGGTCAAATTTGATAAGTAGCAAATTCGATCAAAAAGGGCCGAAGGCGACGGCGTTCGTATATATTGCTTATCTTTGGTTTCGAATTGACCTCCTCTTAAAGCAAACATAAGATAACAGAATCAGAAGCGCTTTTAGACTTTTAGACTTCATACCTAAGTTCAAACCGACTTAGATCTCGCACACAAAAATAGAACTCCTGATTACATACTTTTCACACCTTAACTCAGACTTTTGACTCCCAGTTTTCTCATAAACTTATAATATAAATTCTTTTCAAAATGAAATACTTATTGGCATTGGGTTTTCTTTTTGTATCAACGGTTCAGCTTTTTGGCATGGATATCGACAGTGCTACAAGCGAGTGTTATGACAAGTGGGGAGAACAAGTTTCCGGTTAGTTACCAAAAATCTGGTTTTAAGAGTTTTTTAATTAGTTTTGGTCAACTAATAATGATGATCTGTTTTCATTTCAGAGCCTGCGTTAAAAATGGACCTTGATTGCGAGGTACGTTACGTTTATGTTCAAGAGGAACGATGATAATTTGTTATACTTAAATTGGAAAAAAACAAGATCCGGTGGATAGAGGCCCCTCCCCCAGAGATGTCACCTTCTGTCCGCCCAAGGGGTCTTCCCTTTCGTACTTTTTTAAATCAAAAAGTCGGATGTTCGAGGCTCACAGTGATCTGCACTGGCTGCTCAAGTGTGATGCAACATTACCAATCCCAGAAAAATAGCCAAAAATGTAATTCTTAAGCAGGGGCGCAAAAGCTGTTCTCCGTGAATAGCTAAACAGTTCATATGTTGGTCCTTTTTTTGAATATTTCGTTCTAGCGACATCAATTTTTAAAGAATCCACCCTAAAACGTTGTTGAATATACACTATGACGCTAACATACACCATTTTTGAGGCGGGAGAGCGGGTCCATATCTTTCTTTTTCAAAACAAATTTTTTCCTAGAGAGAACTCGAAGCAAAATATGGTCGACCTGAAAAACAGTTCATCGAAACATTCGAAAACTTTTGAAAGTTTCATCCCCCACCCTTGAGAAAATCCTTCATCAGTCTTTGCCTATTATGGTTTGTAGTAACGAATATCCACTTCTCTGCTAACTAAAAAAAAAGGTTAATTATCTTTAATTTTGACTCGTTATAACGAACTCTGCCTTGCAATAGAAAGGGAAGGGAATTGTTATCCAGATCGTGTGATAGATTGAGTTATCTGATTATAGTTTTTTAAACCTGTTACAATCCCTTTTTTAAGTTGGGCAGCATAACTATTAGCGCGACCTTCCGCCTGAAACAGTTCATTTTTAGTTTCGCCGAAAATAGTTCTCGACCAAAATATTCAACCGGGTGAAGGTGCTCGACCGAAAAAATTAGTCAGTATAGGATTCGGATCGAGCAATCTCAAGCACTTTTTTGATCGAGGTGGTCGAAAAATTCAAAATTTTGGTTCAGACGGTCAAAATATTGAATGAGCACCTTGAAGCGGGACCCGTCATTCATAAAGTTTTTTCCTATCAATTACTGTTTTTCCTTTCTTCATATATGGTTATAGGCAGTGAAACATCACGTTTCCACGTACGCCTACTCCAAGGGCTATGACGCCTGCTTTGTGAAAGTGGGGGGAGTGTACACCATCAACATCACGTTCGACTACCCCTGTTCTGTCTCCAAATCCACAAAGAAGATAGTGGTCGAGTTCAGTGGGGAACTGCAAGTGATGGACCCTGAATCGGAACTGGAAATGGTAAGTTAGGGAAGCGAAGGGTGCAGTGCCTAACAACTCTGCTTTTAAAACGAGAGACTGGTGCATTGAGGCCCAACATGATGCGTGCTGTTCGTAGCCTGCAAAACTGTGGTCAAAAATAAAAATGTCAGCCCCAAAAATTTAACCGAATAAATTGCATGTAATGTCGTGGAGTTTCCTTCATTTTAGTATATAGAACCTAGTAGTAAATGATGATGGGGAAGTTACCCTCATGAGGAAATTAGGAGTAGAGAAACTCACAATTATCATGAACACTCCTCCCTAAATTATCATGAACACTCGTCCTATGTTTTACTTAAAAAATACATCTATCCTCAACATAAACTTTTACAATTATCCTCTATGATATCTTGTGTTTTAATCAATTAACGACTTATATAGCATTGATATCATAACAATAATTTTTCCGACAATGAATGTTGTGCCCCAGTTAAAAAAAATTACTAAAATGCACCGAGAAATTTCTTCTTGTCGCCGCCGCCAAAACTAAAATATACCTGCAGTGCAAGGTATGTAACTGCCACTTCACTGTTTCAGTGCTTAGTTAAATGAAAACTGTCGAAAACTACGCTGAAGTATGTTTAAAAACTTATGGATGATGAAAACTGTTTAAAATAGTTAAGTGTTTTGTATACCATCAAAGTGTTATATTAGATTTGAACTGAAATAACTAATTTGTAAGCATCAGGAAGGTACAAAAAATCAAGGTTCAAACCAACGTTAAAAAACGCACTGAAAAAAATTTCACATGCCAAAAATATAACCTTAAAAACAATTAAAAACTATACAAAAATTGAAGAATCACCATGAATTTTTGTGTCTAAGTTTTAAAATGCTATCTAAAAACAAAGTGGGCCACTAAAAAAACCAAATGAGTCAAGTTTGTGTCTTGTATTGGACTACCTGTAAATAGTTGTATGACCTGATGGAAGTTGTCGTTCTTTCTTTGATTAATTTTGCTTTATTCAGAGAGATAGATACCAAAATGATCAGCAAAATATGTACTTTTCCCTTTACAAATAACAATCCAATGTGCTCCTGGAGTGTCGGCATTTGAGACTGTTATCTTATTGATAACTTCGTGTGGGATAACAGAAGGAATATTGTCATCTGCAAATCTGCAAACACTCCAAGAAATTTTTACTTAAGTTAGTTACAAAACTGAAAGAAATCATGCAACTGCATTTTATCCATTTTCAGACAGCCAAAACTGGAAAGAAGTTCGGTGTATTTTTCCGTCAGTTGTAACGAAAACAATAATTGAACGTATACTCGTAACAAAAGTTTTCACTGACAGGGAGATGGGAAATGAAGCTCGAGTGACGTTGAAGTTCTGTATGTAAAAAAAATTGAGCCGCCTGCTGCGTGCTAGTGAAACTAAGACACCTAATAAGCTGCTGTTGGTTCTCATCCAGTTGGAATCCACGCCCGCAATGCAACGATCTCAATGCTGACAGCGCGATGACAGAGAGACGGTTAAGATCTTCTGTGCAAATTGGAGTTTTTGCTATAGAAATACCTTTCCGTATCATAGTTATCTGTTGCAAGTCATGTTTTTGACACTGTATTCATTGCTATGATATTTTGTTTCACTGGTTCTTGAGCAAAATTATCTTCTGGTTGCCATCTGTGCTGACCAGCTGTTGCGAGAAACTTTTAGAAATTGCTTCTTGATAGGGGTAGTTTGCTTGAGTTAAGGATTTGGTCGATTGCAGTTGTTTTTCTTGCATATTTATTTGCTTCAAGTATTCAAAGCTTGAGACAGATTGTGGCCTCAATAGGTATGATAAAGAAGTTTTCATGAGATCGTCTGTCAGAAAAAACTTTGCGCACAACTACTGAGCTATTAATAACCTTATGAAAAGAAATCAACAGCAGCAGGCGCATAAAACCAAGTTCTCTTTATTCATGGACCACTTCCAACTGAGATGTAAGTCAGGCCGCATCTATAGCAGCGGAATCATTTTTGAAACGGTAGCTTAGACGTTTGACCAAAAAGACTTTACTGTTTGAAACTTCTAGTACGATTAATTTTTTGTGAGCAACTTTACTCTCGGCATTCAAGATCTTAAGTCTATTGACAGAAAATGTGCAATCAGAAAAAAGTAGAAAGCAAAAATTTTTTAGTGAGAAAGGTTGAAAAAAAAACAGAATGGGACCGGTGTTGACACTTCAAAGATCAGTCATTTCAGAGTGGGACCGGTGTTGTCGTTTTGCATCGGCTTTCCATGTATTTTGAAATTCATCAGAAAATCAACAAAATTGTAGCATTATCAAAACTAATCAACAAAAAATGTTTCCCAAAGAAATCAAAATAGCTATAGGTAATTCTATTATGTAAAAAATTAGCATTTTTTTTTTAAATTTTGAAAATGAATCTGCTCGTTCTCTAGCTTGTCTGCTTTATCATTAAATAGTGTTTTTTTTTTAACTCGGAATGGTTTTCTTATTTTAAAACCAATCAATGATGTTTCTCTTCGACAATTGGTTTCTTGCCGTTTCTTTTAAAGTGATTTTTCAAGGCGTGTTTTGGAGATTTCTTTTTCATAGCTTTATCAATCAGTTCAGTGGCCCTTCTGGCAAACGGTATAGAAACACGACAAATACTAGCAAACAAAGCGTTGAAACTACAGCTGCGTTTTGGATAATGTCCAGAGATTGCTTTACATTAACTGTTCTATTTGTTTTCAATGAAAACGTTAGAACTTTGTTGTCAACACAACTCTACCAGTATCTGCAACGGTACTTGCAGTTTCGTTTTGGTTCCCAACTGTACAAACTGATTGCACTGATTGAGTGAAAAAAAACTTTGGAGTCCAAATCACTGAAATTTTTATGATGATTGCGTTCAACACTGCAGGAATTACAGTTTTTGATGCGCCTGTTTGAAGTAATGACGCTTAAACAAACCCTGTTTAAGCATTCCCAATAATCTGGTTTGAATAAGGTCAATTAAAACACAATTTAGAATTCTCCCACTGGTAAGTCATTAGGATAATGAGATTTGTACAGCTCGGTTTGATAATAAGTTGCATCGAGCGAGAATTTCAAAATGTAACCAATGTAAAATTCAATTGTCTTTAATAGCGTTATTACAAGTTAAGCGTTATTTATTAAGAAACCGTTAATTGGGGAGTTGGGAAAATGATTTCTCTGATTGCATTCAACCAACTGCTTATAATTTTTCCGACTTCATGAAGGTCTGCATCATAAAAAATTAGCATTTTGAGTTTCATTTTAATCTCATTGATTATTGTTTATATATAAGTTAATTTTCCTGCTTTGAATATTTTTTTTTTGCCAAAATCAAGGCTGAAGAAAGGAATTCAATGCAAGAATTGGATTAACTGGATTTTACTTGGGGTGCTCTGAAATACGTATGTTCTTGAGCAGTAACAATATATTTTTTATTTGGGAAAATGAATATTGAAAGACAAGCCCCTGATAAGTCTTAGAGCGTTGGGGTTTTTTCAAGTGGCCCATTTTCACGAAGAAAAATTCTGAGAAAGGACAAAATAAATGGCTAAGCTAGAGCGTGAGACGTTTAAAACAAAAAACTAACCAAAACGACTAATATCCTCTCAATAAACTTTCAAATTACCAGTTGTTTTTTGCTCAAAATCTTTTATATTCATAAGAAAAAAAATTGAAATATTTTCGACTTGACTTGTTTTACCAATTAAAAAAAATGTTTTTTTTTCTTCATTTTCGATTCTTATTATAAAAACCAATCGATTTTAAGTTAAAAAACTAAGTATTGGTGCCGCGTGGTAGAAACAATGCATCAAAATGTATTAACCAGTGTCGTTAGGCCAAATTGCGCCCCTGTTTGCCTTGCATAAGTTTTTTTTTCTTCAAAACATTGAAGAAAAATGAAAAAAAATTACAACGCAGCGATTGGCAAATAAAACAATGAACCATTTTTTTTGCAAATAAACAATTTTCTACAAACATATGCCATTACGGATATCGAGTTGCTGTAGAATTAGCACCTAAAGTTTCAATTACACTAATAACGAACTAAAAATAAAAACACTGTTATATCAAATTGTTTCTTTTTTACGTGGTGCTGTGATGAGAGACCGAAAAAAAAAACATTTTGATTTGAGACATAATCGATGGTTTCATTAAATTAGTTAACAGCTACAACACTGTTGCTAAAAAAAATAAACAAAAAACAAAAACAACTCAAAGGAAATTTACAGAAAAGTTAGTTATAGATTTTTTAAAAATTTTTATTTATTTTTGAGAAAAAAAGTGTTAAATGGAACTGGATAAACTACTTTAACTGATATAGAATTGAGTTTTCAAGATTTAATATTAAAATAAGACTATTTAATACATGTTATAAAACCTACTAGTTTGCTTTATCTGCTCAAAATTAAATAAGATTCTAGAATTCAAACTGGTTTTTCTTCACACTGGGACAATTTTTTTTTGAAAGTTTTCATTGTCTTTCAATTACAACTTACAGAGCTTTATAGTGATATATCACTTGAACTCTGCCAATAACTCCTTAAACTGGTTTAATTTAACGGAAATTGTTTTTGGAAAATATGTAATAGCCGGTTGCTGTGGAAGCAGAACAAAATATTCCGACCACAGTCATAAAGAAACTACAAAAACAAAACATTTTTCCAAATTTTTGTCCGTTTGTTAAGCGTGATGCAATGAGAGATTTATATGAACGCGTAGATTTTGAGTTCTTCAAACATAATAGTCAACAGTTGTCTTGGAAAATCGATTAACAAACAAAAATATTAGAAATGTTCAGAAATTTTGTTCTAATTTTTCGCATGTTTTTGCTTATTTAAAAAAAAACAACTTTTTGTTGCCAAGAGAGCGCCAAATGATTTTTAGAGTTTAACAATGTTTTATACTTCTTGAATAAATTTATTTTTATTTTGTAAGACAGAGCTCTTAGCTCGTTGCACTCACATTGAAATTAGACCAAAACTCAAAAATTTCAAACCGATTTTTCTCCACACTGGGACAAACTTTTGAAAAACTTTAAATTTTGTTCCAGTAACAATTTACACTGCTTTAGTATTATATATCTGCCGACCCCTTACAGTATTTATTTGTTTGTGGTACCTGATTTTGCGAGGAAATTTAAAAAAAAGTCAAAACCAACCCAAAGGCAAAGTTCTTTGCCACTTCAAGGGGTAGGGATTGTGCATAGTGTGGGGGGGGGGGGGGGGGGGCACATTACAACAGTAGTTCTGCTTAAAGTGCTGAAAAGATCGTATGGTGGTAATATCTCTAATAACTTATAGTTTGAAAATTTATTCTCAACAGCAATGTTTATATTATAGTCGGATTAGTTTTAACTAGTCTTAGTTAGTGTGGGTTTTCACTTAGCAGATGTTTGAGTCACTGTTATATGACATATATTGCAGCCGTTTCAGAAAATGAAAACTTATGATTCAGAAAAGAATATTCCAAAGCCGATTGGGCAGTTTCAGAACATAGGTTTTCAGTATACCTGTTTCTGAATTATGGAATATTTTTCAAATTTTTTATACGGTTTATAATATATGTTTCAGAGTAATTCATTTTTTTGTGTTTCAGGATAGAATCACTTACCAAGTAAGTAGCATGACTGCCCGCCTAAATAAAGTTGTGCCTGTTTTCATATTTCATAGTCATGCTTTGGCTCTTTCCCCTCTTTCTCTTACGAGCACCAACTTCATGGTATTCCGAGTTGACTTCCGAGTTTAAGTATAGGTACCAATTATTATGGCCTAACTCTTCCGCATACTAATTTTCGTAGCCAACCGGACATAAAAATTTTGGAAGTGGGGTTGTGCAAAAAACAGCGCCAGAATTTTGATGAACTAAAAGTCAATATATAACTTTGCTCTGCTACAAGTTTTTTCATCCGCTGCAAAATGCCACTCGAAAAGATGCCGATCCATTATTTGTGCGTTCTTAGGTATTTTTTCAGAAATCCATTTTTGGCCGACCTAAAATTTTTCTAAAGGCGCCTTCGGCGCTAACATATACTAATTCTGAGGGGGAGCGCGCACCAAAAAAGATGCGGGTTTTGTCAAAAGTTTCCAAAAAGTGCCCAAAAAGGTGCCCTGCAGCGCAATTTAAAAAAAAATCAAATAGGGCATTTATAGTGCTCTGGGACTGCTCGGAAACTCAATATGTTCGACCTAAAAAAAGGATCTACTTAAAAATCTCCCCCCTTTTCATAAAAGGGGGGAGATTGTTAAGTAGATTAAAGTAGTCGAATTTTCGACAAATCGGATTGCAGCAAAATTATAATTCTCAATAGAAACCTCTAGCACTAATTTACTGCATTTTTCATAGGGGTGGATATTCTTAAGTAGATACCATAGGGGGGGGGGGGGAGAGATTGTTAAGTAAATTCAAAAAAGGTCGACAAAGTTTTCGAAAAAAATTCAAAATCCCCCCTCCTAGAGAAAATGCCTACCCCTGCGCAAGTCTAACCAGTAATTTTCTTAACAGACTATAGTGACCAAATTTGAAACGTTTTAAAACGTTGCACCTGAACATGAGTAATTTTAAACAATCGCGTTCAAAAAATTGCGACCGATCAAAATGGCACCTTGAAATTTTTTAGAGTGAATGGCAAGGATATGGGTCTGGTCCAGGTAGTGAACTATTTTCGCATTATTGAGATACAATAAAACAAAAACAGAAGCAATGCACTAAACTATTGCCAAATAGTTAATCACTATTTAGGGCCTAACCTTTTACCAGGTCGACTTCTAATCGGATAAATTAAAACGTGGTTCTTTGAACCAGAATAAATTCGGTAGACAAATTTGACAGAAGATATATTGACGTCGTTTAGTCTTGTTAAAGACAGTTATTTAACTGTTTCTCAGCAAAATTTTGGCTGATTTAACCGCATCCTTGTCAAATCTTCGCCAACCTTGACTCATCTTAATTCGTGTCCGCTAAATAAGAGACAGCTGTTAAGACGACAAGCGCTTCTGGTGGGATCTAAAGAAGACGCTACTCGCAATTCTCCACTTGTATTTCTGAGAAACTTAAACCACTTAATATCGAACTGCTTATTTTACATGTAATAAGGCTTATTTGTCGTCTTTATTTCTTAATGTCCTGTCGTCTTATTTACCAAGCACTTAATTTAATTATTACGTTGTAGTGGTTACATAGCAGTATTTAGACAACCGCGTAATCAGACACGTCAGTATTTAGACAAATACTGTTTTAACCAATCAGAGTCGAGACAGGAAAGAAGTTAATAAATAATTATTACTTATTTTGAATTATTTATGTCTTATCTCGATTCTGATTGGTTCAAACAGAACTTGTCTAAATACTGTCGAGTATGAATACGCGGTTGTCTAAATACAGACCGCACTCCTGTTGTAGTCTTGTAAAAGATCAGTCTAATAATCGATCTAGCTTTCACTATTTACTGAGGCAGTTAGATATTTTAAGGAGGCGGAGCATTAAGCAGAATGGTCCAAGTGCAGAATGAGTCTACGAGCAGAAAAACAGAAATATAATGAGTTATATTGGTTTATACGGGCTAATTGATGAAACAATTATTAGAATCGTCAACAAATACCAAGAAAACGAATAAATTATGCATGAAGTGAATAATTTCTTACAATTTTTTAATTGAATTTTAAAAAAAAATCTCAATTAAATTACTCAAATTATGCATAAAAGATAAGTTTCTTTGGTAATAATGCCTAGTCTTATACTTAATTTACCGATTAGCTTGTAAAAATTAAAGTTTTTATCTTTTTCTGCTTTTGGACCCATTCTGCTCTTAGACCATTCTGCTTATTGACTGACTGGCCACCATATTTTAAGCTCGATTTTAGGGCTAGCAAATTGTGAAACAAACTTTTGTCTAACGCTTGATTTGTTCAATCACCCGAAACTATTCTTTCAATTTGATTGTTTTGATCGTCATCAAATTCACTGGGGCTTTTCTCATGGACGAAAGATTAACTTGGCAAAAGACTCATGAGCAAAAGACCAAAAACAAAAACAATCGAAAAACTATCATTATTTTGAATCAATTGCTGTATAATTAAAAAGAAATTAACTGAAGCAATCTTTTGCTTCTTTTATATCAAAACCCTTGAAATATGACTTTTGTTCCAATTCGCAGTCCTTCAGTGAAAATTTGAAAACTGCATATTTCTGCCGTTTCTCTGTTCGGCTAATATTAATATCAAGTCTCTGAAAATGTTCACTTTCTTTGAGATTTTCATGCTTTGTCCAAAATTTGGAATACTTTAATCTGATCGGGTGATTTTTATTTTCGCCATTCGTTCCTTTGCCTACGAGGGATTCCACCAAGTTCACTGTCTAGACGACGCCCGTCTCCTTGTCATTCACTCTTTTCTTGGTGATCATGGTTCCGCGACACAATTAATTTCAAAATTTTAGACTTTTTCTTACAACCACAAACCAATTTCTTATTGTCATGACTGATCTCCGGAAAATTCAAGATTAAATTCTGGCTTGTTGGTCTAATTTTCTGATTAGCGCAAGTGTAATGCAGTGCCCAAGACAGGAAAAACACAGTTTTTATTACTGTTTTTGGTCGCGGAATGACGTTCAATGCATAAACTCAGTGCAACGTCTGAACATGACTTACTGGCCTCGAACAACGTCCTGTTTCCCACGAAACGAACGTTTTTGAAGTTCGGAAAAAGAATTAGTTTCAAATATGTGAATGTAACTGCTCTGTTCAAATTTCCTTGGATTTTAAGTTAGTTGTTTCAACCACGCCACCAATGGACTGGAAAAAATAGCTTAGGGTGGGTTTTGTCTGCTCAATTTTAAGTATTTCATGGAAAACTAGTTAAGATTCATGTTTTGCTTAAGCCAAAAGGGCGGATCCTTAGTTTTCAGGAGGCAGATCCTTGCTTTTCAGGGATTCGTCTTCTTGACCATCCAAAAGGTACCTTTGGTACGTTTTTACGAAATCACTTTTTCTCGACCAACTTTCGCTTTTTTCTGATCAAATTAATTTTCGAAATGTTTTTAGCACTTGAAAATGGACTTTTTTTGAACAGCTTATGAACAAATTTTATCAAAACTTCCTACGTTATGTACAAAAACGTCAATTTTGGCCAATTTTTTTTTTAAAATAGAGATGTTGTTAGATCAGAAAATTAATTTTGTCTACCTATAAAAATCAAAATTTTTGAAAACTCTTTCCTTCTTGAAAAATTCCCTGATGTATCTTTTCTAGAATCTTCTGTCATTCAGTTTGATTCTTGGCAGCAGATTTTGGCATCAAAAATATCCGCTTTCGAAATCAGTCAAAATATTTGCCCAGTCGAACACAGTTGAAATATTTTTCTTTGGTCAACAAAGTCAAATCAATTTTTTTTGTTCCAAATTTTTCTCCTCGTTGGTTGAACTCAGGGTTGCGATAAATTGCGGACAAAAAAAAATTGGTCGTGCAAAATTGAAACATTTCTTTTTTGAGTCTCGCAAATTCGCAACACACCCATTTTGGGTCGCATTGGACGCAAAATCAGTACTTGTATGCATCCCAGGGCTCACATTGTTTTCCAATCTATCAATAAAATCATATTTTTTTGGAAGAATCTGGCAAAACATAATACACCAAATTATCTCTTGTTGATGATGAGAAGGTTAAATTACCCGAGGACTGAAGCAAAAGAAAAAAAAACTAGGTGTTTCCCAATCCAACATAGGGAAACACTTAGTTGTTGAGAAACACAAAATAGGGAAACAAAATTACTCAAATTATGCATAAAAGATAAGTTTCTTTGGTAATAATGCCTAGTCTTATACTTAATTTACCGATTAGCTTGTAAAAATTAAAGTTTTTATGTTTTTCTGCTTTTGGACCCATTCTGCTCTTAGACCATTCTGCTTATTGACTGACTGGCCACCATATTTTAAGCTCGATCTTAGGGCTAGCAAATTCTGAAACAAACTTTTGTCTAACGCTTGATTTGTTCAATCACCCGAAACTATTCTTTCAATTTGATTGTTTTGATCGTCATCAAATTCACTGGGGCTTTTCTCATGGACGAAAGATTAACTTGGCAAAAGACTCATGAGCAAAAGACCAAAAACAAAAACAATCGAAAAACTATCATTATTTTGAATCAATTGCTGTATAATTAAAAAGAAATTAACTGAAGCAATCTTTTGCTTCTTTTATATCAAAACCCTTGAAATATGACTTTTGTTCCAATTCGCAGTCCTTCAGTGAAAATTTGAAAACTGCATATTTCTGCCGTTTCTCTGTTCGGCTAATATTAATATCAAGTCTCTGAAAATGTTCACTTTCTTTGAGATTTTCATGCTTTGTCCAAAATTTGGAATACTTTAATCTGATCGGGTGATTTTTATTTTCGCCATTCGTTCCTTTGCCTACGAGGGATTCCACCAAGTTCACTGTCTAGACGACGCCCGTCTCCTTGTCATTCACTCTTTTCTTGGTGATCATGGTTCCGCGACACAATTAATTTCAAAATTTTAGACTTTTTCTTACAACCACAAACCAATTTCTTATTGTCATGACTGATCTCCGGAAAATTCAAGATTAAATTCTGGCTTGTTGGTCTAATTTTCTGATTAGCGCAAGTGTAATGCAGTGCCCAAGACAGGAAAAACACAGTTTTTATTACTGTTTTTGGTCGCGGAATGACGTTCAATGCATAAACTCAGTGCAACGTCTGAACATGACTTACTGGCCTCGAACAACGTCCTGTTTCCCACGAAACGAACGTTTTTGAAGTTCGGAAAAAGAATTAGTTTCAAATATGTGAATGTAACTGCTCTGTTCAAATTTCCTTGGATTTTAAGTTAGTTGTTTCAACCACGCCACCAATGGACTGGAAAAAATAGCTTAGGGTGGGTTTTGTCTGCTCAATTTTAAGTATTTCATGGAAAACTAGTTAAGATTCATGTTTTGCTTAAGCCAAAAGGGCGGATCCTTAGTTTTCAGGAGGCAGATCCTTGCTTTTCAGGGATTCGTCTTCTTGACCATCCAAAAGGTACCTTTGGTACGTTTTTACGAAATCACTTTTTCTCGACCAACTTTCGCTTTTTTCTGATCAAATTAATTTTCGAAATGTTTTTAGCACTTGAAAATGGACTTTTTTTGAACAGCTTATGAACAAATTTTATCAAAACTTCCTACGTTATGTACAAAAACGTCAATTTTGGTCAATTTTTTTTTTAAAATAGAGATGTTGTTAGATCAGAAAATTAATTTTGTCTACCTATAAAAATCAAAATTTGTAAAAACTCTTTCCTTCTTGAAAAATTCCCTGATGTATCTTTTCTAGAATCTTCTGTCATTCAGTTTGATTCTTGGCAGCAGATTTTGGCGTTTTTTGAATTCATTTCTAATATCTTGTTTCTTGTTTTAAATTTTTCAAACGATTTTGAGGTAACAAGACATTTATTGAAACCGGAGATCCCACTGAACCTCTCATATCACTTTGGTCATAACGTTCTTTGCTGCTTCTGAGAGTCTTTTTGGTGCTTTGAAGAGAAATTAAAAAAAACACAATCTAAAAACTTTATAGACTTTTTTTGTAGGTCGACCAAATTGATTTTCCGAGCGCTCCCAGAACACTATTAAGACCCTATTTTTAACAAAATTTTTGCATCGGTCAAAATGCAGTTTTTGGGAACTTTTTGAAATATTTTGACCAAAAATATGCGTTTTTTTTTTCAGCGCTGTGTACCTGGTTTCTTTGGTTTGATCTACAACCTGTTCTGATTTTTTGAATTTGTGTTTTGAGTCTAACAAGGAACATTACTCTATTTTTAGAAAGAAAGCTGGGATACGGTTGAGTTCGAAAGAGAGAACGCATTCGAAGTAGAAGATGATGATGAGTATGATGAAGACGACGAAGATGATGAAGATGAAGACAATGACGATGAAGACGACGAAGAAGATGAAGATGAAGATGAAGACAATGACGATGAAGACGAAGACGACGAAGAAGATGAAGATGAAGATGAAGACAATGACGATGAAGACGAAGACGAAGATGAGGATGACGATGAAGATGAAGATGAGTTCGAATGCGGAGAAACGTACACAGTGAGCTACACCATGCAAGAGATTGACACAATGCCTCTGTTGCTGTCACCCTATCCACCTGTCCTGGTATACGTCGGGGTCCAAGGGAAGACGGAAGAAGGGGAAGTGGTGTTCTGTACAACAATTGACCTCAGAGTTGAAGATCCAGACAATCTTGCTTAAAATTGACTCGTTTTAACAAAGTTTATGTTACTTTGTAACGTAATTTACGCTTAACATATTATGCGGATACTTATTTGCTGGTTCACTATGGGTTTTTTTGCTATTCATAATTTATCCAAGATTTGATCAAAAACGAAAGATTTTGGTTCTTGAAAACTTATAGGTTTTAATTTTTCTGAATGATGATTCTTAAAAATGATATAATATGGGAATAGAAGAGCGCTTTAATTTTGCTACCTAAAATTAGAATGATGAAAATTTTTCAAAATCCAGCCGAGACCCGGTCTTACAAAGCTTTTATCGTGGCATTTACCTTCGATCTTGTGAAATAACTCAACTCAGCAGCAGCGCCGCGGGGCGAGGTACGCGACTTATGGTGCGACCAAGTTGGTTTAGGTTAAGGACTTTCTGCAAGTCGAATTCCATAATCCCGCTCGAGGTTTGAGTCGCGCAAAAGCCCACAATGGGTCGCGCAAACTAATAGCATTGGTCGCGCATAGTCTCAGCATGGGTCTCACAAAATAAAATCACAAAAATCCAATACATATTTATTGTTAACGTGCAGCTTGATAAACCAGCAGATTTGCTGGTCATATAAAGGACCGCCGCGAGAAGGCCTCTGCATGTTTTCTCAGAAAATTAAGCAAATTTTTTGGAGTAATGACAAAATTTTCACTTTAAAATCAGAAAGCTGTAAGACAAAAAATGAAACATTAAATCTCTCATCAATATAAAAACACCGTTTGTTTATTATAGCAATGAAATAAATGATAAACGTTAATACCCACCCGAAAACGAAATTGTTTTCCTGATTTTTGTTTAAATTTTGGTATCATTTCCACGATTCAATTTTATCAACAAAAACTATCTAAAATTACCAAAACTTTTTAAAACTCACTAAAAATGGAATATGAAATATTTGGTTGATAGTGAAAGTTATAAAATCTTTAATCACATGAGTCGGAATCAAACCCCCAGCCTAAAGAAAGTTTCAAGTTCTCGCATCTAAGAAATGGTTCTCTTGATTTTATCAAACACAGAAGCGAAGCTGCTCTTCGCGAACACAAGCGAGAAAACAACATACAGTGGGTTGAAACAGGTAAAAATTGAAATTAGTAAAGACAAGGGTTAGAAAAATAGAAGAAAAAAAATCCCTGTTCTGGACTCTAACCCCGGACCTGTAGACTAGGAACCTGTCGCACTTTTATCGCTCAAAAATATCAGCTTTCGAAATCAGTCAAAATATTTGCCCAGTCGAACACAGTTGAAACATTTTTCCTTGGTCAACAAAGTCAAATCAATTTTTTTGTTCCAAATTTTTCTCTTCGTTGGTTGAACACAGGGTCGCGATAAATAGCGGAAAAAAATTGGTCGCGCAGAATTGCAACATTTCTTTTGAGTTTCGCAAATTCGCAACACACCCATTTTGAGTCTCATTGCTCGCAAAATAACTACTTTGAGTCGCATTGGACGCAAAATTAGTACTTGTATGCATCCCGGGGCTCACATTGTTTTCCAATCTATCACTAAAATCGTATTTTTTTGGAAGAATCTGGCAAAACATAATACACCAAATTATCTCTTGTTGATGACGAGAAGGTTAAATTACCCAAGGACTGAAGCAAAAGAAAAACAACTAGGTGTTTCCCTATCCTACATAGGGAAACACCTAGTTGTTGAGAAACACAAAATAGGGAAACACCTCAAGCTACAAAAAGCTAGTTCACTTTTCAAAAATCCAACCCAAAATTTTAAATAACACCAAATTCATATAAAATTCACTGAGAAATTAAATAGCAAAAATATTACAGGTATTTTAGAGTTGATCGAATCATCGATAATGGGCAAAAAAAGGCAGGTGGGACATGAAAAAAGACCAAACTGCGCATATCACACCTTAGCCATGATTATTTTCTAACACTAAAGTTTTTTTATTAGTTAAAAAGTTATATGTTATAAAATCATTTGAACCTTTCTTGCAAGTATTGTATTTTAAACCCCACCCTCGCTACCACCATATGCTAAGTAAGTATTATTTGTCCTGAAAAATAATTAAAATTCCCCTAATACCTTGATTGAACTCTTTCTGAACCTAGTTACATAGCCGCTTACGCATTAACAGCTCGAAGTTGATCGCGCGTTAATTATCGTGAATTAGTCTTCTTGATAATTTTCGAAGCTTTACAACTAAAAAAATGATCAAGAGAACAAAATTTTTAAAAAAAATTGAGCTAAAGATGTCAATGAAATTCAGTTGATACAAACATTTAGATGATGCAAAATTTCCGATTTAACAAAAATTGGAAGAAAAAACGTCACACTGATTACATTTTTTTTTCAAAAACTGAAACAATAAAGTTATCATATCCTGCTAAAAAAGAGAGACACATCACAAATTGTCTTCAATCCTTAGCGCATCTTAGGTATAAGTTAAAAAAAAAGAAAAAGCCGGATTTTAAAATGAAAGTATATCACTAGTTTTGAGTTGAGTAATAGAAATAGTCAAGCACCGCGATATTCAAGAAATCAAAATTTGTTTGAACAAAAACAGCTCTCATCAATTTTTTTGAAACCCCCATCAGAAAGGGTTACTATTAGGTCTGAAACCAAGTTTTTATAAAACATTATAATTCTTGTAAACTTCAAATAACTCGATCTGCAATTGTATTTCATGTCTGTAATTCAATCGCACACCTAATGATTGCATTAAAAACTGACCTTTATAGGCCAAGCGGTCTTTGCGAACTCAGTATGGCGAGCGACTTTACTTGAATTCCTAGAAAATGCTTGCAAAATTTAGCTTGTGAGGTTTTCACTTTTGATTTTCCCTAATCCCTAAAAAAACTTTCGTCGTAAAAATTACAGATTTTGACTTATGGCGTTGCTGCAATCAAACTGAGTCGACCATATAGGTGCGTCAATAATTTTTTTCGGGTAATTTCACTTGCATACTTTGAATTACTCAAATTAACCTGTAAATCATTTTCATCAAATATTACCATTCAATGAATCAATTTAGAATTTATTCGAAGTTTCATTGAAGGAATATTATACGGTAGAACCAATTTTTGCTACAAAATTAGGTTAAATGAACGACAATGTTTGTTTAAACATCAAAAAATTGCTTCTACCTCGGTCAAACATCAAAAAAGTTTCAAACATATTTTGCAACCATCAAAAGCACGTGGTTGTCTATGAAAAGTTTATAACCAGTTTTTAAATTGATTGAGCATTGTACAAAAAATTAAACCTTTGGTATTATGTAGGTTAAATTAATTGGCTCTTTTCTAGTTCCCTCTTTCAAATTCAATTTTGAATTTTTTTTAACGTTGTCATAATGCATTGAAATTTGTAAAACAAACATAAAACAATGGAACAAACATAAAACTCGGTATTTTGAAAGGGGGACTGGAAAAGAGCCAAAGAATTTTAGAATTTTTTTTACCATAAGATTTTAATTGTTGTACAAAATTTTGGATATGTTATACATTCGTTTGCACTGCTGGTTGTTTGTACTAACACAAAACCAGCACAAGCTGAGATCAATTTTTTTTGTCAATTTTGAGTTTTTCAACGAAGAGTAATACTTAGCAAATGAAGAGTAATAGCAAACTGGTGACAAATTTGTTGGTTTGTTTCCTCAAAAATGGGTGGCTACTAGTAAGAGCACACGCGAAGTAACTTCTTTTAATGTTCTGACCATTGAAAATGGGGTGGAATTTGTATTCGGACGTGTTTTAGTTTTATTTGTTTTTTCAATTTTTTTGTTTTCCACGCAAGGTCAAGTACCACAAGTAATTATCGTTCAGTGATATGTCAGTGATTAAAGCCATATTAGTTGTGATTCTAACAACATTTAAAGATTTCGAAATGTTTTCTAGTGTCGAGAAAAACCGGATTGAAATTTTTGATTTTTCTTCTATTTTCGAGCAAGTAAAGCGCTAGAGTAAAGTTTGTGCGTTTGTTACATATGAAAATTAGCGAAGTAGGCACCAGCGGATTTAGGGGGGGGGGCGGAAGGGGATGGGGGCGTACGCCTTTTTCTTCAAGGAATCGACCCCCTGTTGACCTAAAGAGTCCCCCTTTGTTCTATTTTGAGATATCCATTTTTGGCTGACCCTAAAATGTTCGTCAAGGCGCCTTTGGCGCCAAAACACACCCATTTTGAGGGGGAAGCGCGCGCCGGAAAAACGCATTTTTTTGTCAAATTTTTCAAAAAATGCCTAAAAACGCTTTTTTGGCCCATTTTCAAAAATTCGCCTGCGGCGGAGAAACTTTGCTTAAAATAGCGTCTTTACTGTGATCTGGTAGAGCGCAGAAAATCAAATTGGTCGACCTAAGAAAAAAAAAGTCGACAAATTTTTTGAATTTTTTTTAAAAAGCCGCACCACCCCCCCCCCCCACCTTGAAAACATTATCCGCCCCTGAAAATAGGCTAAAAAGTCTGAATTTATAAAATAAAAAACAGTGATGGAAGCTTCAATTAGCTCTTCTCTGGCAAAAAAAATTTCAAAACAATTGGAGTCGTTTATGCCTATTTCGCTAAATTTCTACGCGTTCGTATAGTTGTATCATCACACGATGTACAAAAAAGACACTAACTTGAGAACTTTTTTTCTGAAAATGTTGTCGGAACATTATACGCTACTTGCGCAGCAACCAACGGAAAAAAACGGAAAAAATAGCAAAAAAAACGTAAAAAAACTATATCGGAAAAAAATATCAGTTTGAAAACACTATTTTGTCATATGGATCCCAATAAATTGAAAAAATCAAAAAATCATCAAGGTTTCTCACTTCATTTGCTATGAAGAGGGAAAATTTAAGCCAGTGAATTCACAAAATTTTGGAATGGTTTTCCTTTTCTTCATTTTTAAGGTTAAATTCGAAAAATAGCTAAAACAAATAAGTGCAGAAGGACCAGAAAAACCAAGTTCAATAACTTTTTGATTCAGCTGCCCAGTTTTCCCACTTTTGAAGTAAAACGCAGTAAAAACTCACCCATGGCCATCTGTTAGTTTTGAAAGATGACTCTGCTTAAGAGGCGCAACTTTTGAAAAGCTTACTAAATTTTCAGCATTTCATACAACGTGTAAATTGTTTTACTTCGTTTTTTTTTTAATTTCAAGGTTTTTGTCAAAACTTTTAAACCCCTGTCATAAAACCACAGATCCCCTCTGAATATTTATTTGCGAATTTAATCAAGGCAAATATTTAATTGATTGTCTTATGTATAAAGAACCAAATATATTAGTGGTAAAGTTATGACTTGTTCAATAGAACTTAGAGTGTGAGTGTATCGTTTAGTTTATTAGTCGGATGTTTCTCAAACTTTGTACAGAACACATTGCCCTCCTCAATCGTATTCGGCAGTCGTTTTCCTCTGGTCTCGGGAAGGAATAGAGTTGCTACAACAACCAGAAATGCAAATGAACTGTAAAATATGAGAGGCAACGGGGTCCAAATTTCGCTTAGAAGGCCGATGTATGGTATGGCGAGACCAGTTATCCGAGCCATTAACGAACCGAACCCGAGAGCCGAAGTGCGAACGACAGTCGGCATCAAGTCAGCAGTCCATTGATAACAAAGCTGGAAAAATAACTGCAAGACAACTTTTCCAACAAAAGCCAGAAAAAGTGTTGTGAATTGCCAACTTGTCGGTATAAAAATACAAGTAAAAAAGACCAAACCAGCAAAGTTCAAACAAAATATAACCATCGTTTTGCGGCCAAAAAAGTTCAGAAGTAAAATACCAAGAACACAGCCTGAAAAACTTCCGAATCCTTGAAACAATGCATAAACATGAACATTCTGTTTAAACATTGAAGCGCCGAATAAAATCGCGTAAAATAAACAATTTACGCACACCCAGTGAAGTGCTAATAATATCATTCGAATAGAAAGTACACGATGTTTGAAGATGTCGATAACTGAATACTGTTTTTTAGAATCAGTGTCCGAATTTTCCGCAGTAGTTTTATCTATTTTTTCGGCGAAGTTGAACATGCGTCTTAAATCCGTGACGACTGTTTTCAAAAAGGATTCTTTTCTCACCCCAATTTCGGATAAATCAATCAGCGCTTGTTCAGTTTCTTTCGGAAGAGTCACTCCGCTCAGCCTCGCCGCGGTGTGAATAATATCGGAAGTTTCTTCGTATCTCTTACGAGCCCACAGCCACCTCGGGCTTTCCGAAATAAAAAGTGAAATTATAAAGTCAACAAATGCAACGCCAGAATAAGCCAGAATTAAATGGCGCCAGTTTGGAATGAAAACCGAAAACCCAACGCCGACCATAATTCCGATTCCAAAGAACATCCCGACGAATTGTCCCGCTACGTGTCGGAAATCAGTTTTGACAGTTTCGGCAGTGTAGACAAACAAGCAAACCCACGTACTTATATTAGTCGTATTAATGATCGTCCACGCAACTAAATGCATGACATAAGACTCCGACAACGCCATGATAATTCCAAATATGGTACATAGAAAAAACGAAACACGAATCCATTTCATACGTCCTATTCGGTCGCTCATGAATCCCGCGATTAGGGAACCCAAAAGAAGTCCCAAGAAATAAAAGCTTCCGTGCACTTCGAGAAGAATTTCGCGGCCGCATACTAGACTGTAAGATTCTTGAATCGAAGATGAAAGACCGGTTCCATTGTAGTTAAATGAGTATTCGGAGCAAGACAAAGAGCAGACGTCAGTCTAAAAATAAAGAGATTTGAGGTTCAATCCCGAGCATCAGCTATTTTTTTTTTTAGCTCAAGCTCAAGTCAAGACAAAAATGCAGTAAGCTCATGTCGATACCTTATGTTACCACAATTTAATTGATTCTTCTAACTTTGAGTTGCCCTAGACAAAAAATTGGCACTTCGGTAACTTTAATTGTGGTATGTCTTTAAACTTTACAAATTTACATGGTTTAGTGAGTAGCGCGGGATTTGAGGATAACCTCTCAGGCAGAGACAAAAAGTTTACCACTAAGTCCACCGGTTTAGATAGTGTTTTTGAAAAATTGTATAGCAAAAAGCCGAAGTTAATTTATCAATTTTTTGACCATAGAAGAACAAACGAACTCTCCAGAGATTCAGGTTTTTGCTTGGCAAGGTGATGAAATTCCTCTGCTCTATCTACGCTGATCGAATTCCGGAGAACTAAGTCAAGTCTGGAGTCTGGATAATTGTGGGATATTTTGTGTCTCGGAAAGTGTTATATTGCATTCTTACTTGACACTAATTTTACTCAGAGAAGTAACAACAACCTTAATAGTGGTTAAGCAGCAGTATTTAGACAACTGCGTATTCAGACACTGTATTAACCAATCAGAATCGAGACAAAGGAAGATATCAAATTCATTTCTTCCTGGTCTCGATTCTGATTGGTTAATAGAGTGTCTGAATACGCGGTTGTCTAAATACAGACCGCACTCCCTTAATAGTGCAGAGAGTTATTAATCACCTGCCGGTCAAAACACTAAAGTTCGAATCTGTTTTGAGAAATTCTTTTTTCGCTTGACATCAAAACTTTATCAACTTAATTTTCATTGACTTTGACTTATTTGATATGATACTGTCTGAGCCGATGGGTAAGCGGCAAACTTTTTGTCACCCTATCATTTACAAAACCATGAAAATTTTGAGAACCTTGTGAGAAAATGTTCTCCAACTTCTCACAAAAGTTAGTTGCCAAGCTTGAAAGTATGAATGAGTTCCTTGTCTAGAAGTATAAAGATAATCCCTTTGTTATTATACGGGTTTCATGCGAGGAGAATATTATCAACTTCTTCAAAGATTTAGGTATTCAAATTGTTCGTGCATGATATAAATTCCATTATTTATGCTTGTGGTGGCAATATTAGCAACATTTATGCTTGTTGTGGTTTTTTTATTCAGTCAGTTTTTCACTTTTCAACTCAAAGTTTGTGAGAACATTTTTTCAACAATCTGAAAAATATTGGTTTCCAGAGCCCAAAGGTTTAAAAACTCACCTGTGGTTGTTTTTCGTAAAAATATGGGGGATCGAACCTTACTAATTTCGCCAATTTGGGATAATTAACGAGCGATGTTGACCTCAGTTAGACCAAAAATTCTGGCGGGGGAGGGGGTGTTGGCAAAAGTAGTTTCAGATAGCCTCGATTTCAGAAAAAATCAATGCTGGATTCGATCCTGGCTTTGATCAAAAAATCATCATTGCTGGATTCGACTCAAATCTGGAGTTTAAAAAATAGCTTACTTGTTCGCAGCTTGTACTATTGCTTTGATCGCAGTTTGAAGAATATTTTTCATCTGCACACACAAATGGTTGTTTCGTCCTGAAGAAGCTCGGAGAAATTACGAACATGCCCGAATGGAAAAGCGAGACACATGACAAAAAAAGCATCAAAATCTGCCATTTTGTGGCAAATTTGTTTTCTATAAAAATATCATCCAAAGACAAATTTGTGTCAGGTTTCGGTTTCTCTGTTTCCACCATCTTAACAGTAAGAAACAAACGACTAGCAAAAAATTTAGAATGTAGTACAGATACACAGAGATGTGATAATTATAAATTATTTGAGTGAAGATGTAAAGGTTTTGAGGTGCTTTAAGTTGTTCAGGTTTGAGCCACTTTGTGTTATTGCATTAGTAGATAAACTTGGGTTCAGCATTGAAGATTTGGTAAATATTAGTTAGCTTATCTGAATCAAGTTAAGATTTGGCCGGGCCAAAATGTAAAGTATGAATAATGATAAACATTTTTAAGACAAAGCCTAAATATTAAGTTGCTGAAAAGAACAATTTAAGTTTGTTGAAATAAGTAATCAAGAATCAAATTTTGTTATTGCGATGTTATACTAGATATAACAGTTTGTGTTGTCGCACACAAAGCTTTTTCACAATTAAACTAATCTTACCGAAACTAAGAATTAATAAAGTTCGATCGAAGTCCTAAAATGTGCTCCTATTGAGTATATTATAATTTCTGCAGGTAAACAATGGTGAGAGAAAAATATATATTTTTTTCGCGGTGCCTCAATGTCAGTGCGTATATATTGATGCTGAGGTCAATTATACAAAAAAAGTTTTAAATTCTCTTTGAGCCAAAAGTTGATAACAAAAACAAAAAGAAGATTCTTTGGGAAGTGATTGCCAATCGCAATTGAGAGGTGAGAGTGTTTATAAAATATCTATCCAGATAAGAAGCCTTTGTTGGGTACTGGTATATAAAGCGGTCTGATCACTGATCAGTTGAACTGTTAATTTATCGTAAAGTGAGATGTGTTCACTGTTAACCTTCGATGCAGCAAAGTAATCTGTGTAATTTTTTGGCGCGCACTCCCCCTCAAAATTAGTTTTTATTGGCGCCTAAGGCCAAATGGTCCGTCACCAAATGTGGATATCTCAAAACAGTACAAAGGGGGACCCCTTTGGGTAGGATGGGGGTCGAATACCTGAAAAAAAGCGTCCGCTCTCCCCCGCCCCCCACCCTCTAAATCCGTCCTGACAGTAAACAGTGAGAAAAGAAGCCAACTGAAAAGCACACAAAACAAAAGAAAAATAAAACGAAATGAAGCAATGACGTTTTTTGAACAAAAAAATGGATTATAATCGATTAAAATGGATTATAATTCAATAAAACTTCAGAAATAATTTTTTTTTAAAATAATCGAATATAATAATGTGTTTATAAATAATAATAATATAATAAAAATAATCGATTATAATGTGTTTTTTGTTTCAAAAAATAGTAACATCATAATCCATTTTTAATCGATTATAATCTTTTTTTGAAATTTATGGAGACTGACAATAAAAATCCATTATAATCTATTATTTTTGCTTTTTACTGAGTGCGACTGAAGTATAAACCAAAGAAAAAAAAACTCAGCACAACATTAACGTCATTTGACTGATACTTGCAGGCCTAACTCATACAAAATCGTTACATAACTATTAAAATACAATTACTTTTTTTCGGCTGTTTTTGTTACTAGTTAGTTTTTTCTTCGGTTGATTTATATACAAACAATTATTTTTGTGTCATTTAGTCGCACATCGTCTGTTAGTGGCAGTGGTTTTTCCAAACTTCCTGGGTTGACCTCCATAGATCGAAAAACCTAGTATTACAATTCCATAAACTAATTCTAAGAAAAATCCAAGTCAAACAAATATTTTTGGACAATATATGATTAATTCAAAATTCAAAAAATTGGTATCGTTGAAAATTTTTGCCAAAAACTAGAAGTTTGTTTCTTTCAATATATTGTTTGCGTATTACATCAATGCAAACCTTTGGCTCTATCTTTTAGTTTCTAGGGTCTTTGTAGTTTTCAGAACAAATTAATCAAAAAAGAATAATGTTTTGGTTTATGGAAAAACTCTAATTAAGCAGATTCCATATATGAAGAAAAAATCATGAACTTTTTGTGAAATTTTTTTTTATGGAATTGCATGACAAGTGTATGACTAGCGTTTTTCTATATATAAAAATTGTATCAATAGCCTTTGGGCCAACCACGGTCAGTCGTTCTTTTTTTTAAATTTGGGTACAATTGTGACAAAGGGGTCCCAATAAACTAAAAGAGTTCCGGATGCAAATAGAGTGCTTTTTTCATCAGTGACGGTAGTCAGAGTAACAAATAACTTAGCGCAAATAAGGCAGAGAAAAACGTTTGATAAACGTCTTGAAAACAATCGAACGGCGTCAACTGCTTTTCCTAAGTTTTATATTTGCTTAAGGTTTGCGTGATTTGGAACCCCTTTTTCACACTTGGTTTGCACAGGTATACAGGTTCCTGGAATGTGAAGCAGGTTGTCATCGGTATCTTTATGTGGAGAATGCGATAAAACAGTGTTAATAGTTCCGAGGTCAATGTTGTGTTGGGATCTTTTTGGGCTGGGATCAAGTTCATGACTGAGCTGTAAAGCCTATCTCCGTTACATGGCCAAATTGTGTATTTTGTGAATTGTAAATGGATTTTCTTTTGTATTTTGTGAATTGTAAATAGATTCCGCAACAAGGACGCTTTTTATTCTTCTTTTGTTCTTTCTTTTTCTTTGATTGTTCCGACAGAAATTCAAAAAGTTTGAAGACTTGCCTCTATATTCCAGAGACCTATAAACACCGAATTGTGCGCCTATCCAGTGCACTGTTTGGCCTTTTTTTGTAGGTGTTGAGTTGAAATGCAGCCTAAATTATAGTCAAACTTTTGGTTTCGGGGAAAAAGAAGAACCGATGAAAAAATTTGAGCAATAAATTTTTTGCCCTTTCATGATGAAAATTTGCTTCATTTTGATCCTTGTGCAGCTTTTGATTATGAATATGATTGTGACATTTTGAAAAGAGTTGTATCAACTAGCCAATTTTTAGAGGGCGATATAGTTCATTTTGAAAAAATATGCAAAAATCATTATGCTAATTCATACAGTTTTATGCCTGAATCATTGGCCGAGTCGGATGGATAAAAAGTATAGAATTTTTTTCATTTTTTTTCCGTTTATGTTCATTTGTTGGTTTTTAAATTTTTTGTCTGAGACCATATCAAATCTCTTTTTCCACATTTGACTAGGCGTTTTTCATAATGTGTTCTAATTAAAATTTAACTACTCACAAATTGGTTCAAACTCTGAAAAAAATCATCTATACGCGGTTATCTATGCGCGTTTATTCGCTTTTCTCTCTTTTTTTTTTTCAAGCGGAGTTGGCTCTATGTCTAGCTGCTCAGTAGCTTAGCTGATGTCTATTCAGTTCATGATTGATTTGTTGACTTTTTAGGGAACTTAAGCGAATATCCGAGTCGGATGGATAAAAAGTATAGAATTTCTTTCTTTTTTTCCCGTTTATGTTCATTTGTTGGTTTTTAAATTTTTTGTCTGAGACCATATCAAATTTTTTTTCCTTATTTGACTAAGCTTTTTTCATAATGTGATCTAATTAAAATTTAAGTACTTACAAATTGGTTGAAACTCTGAAAAAAATCATCTATACGCGGTTATCTATGCGCGTTTATTCGCTTTTCTCTCTTTTTTTTCAAGCGGAGTTGGCTCTATGTCTAGCTGCTCAGTAGCTTAGCTGATGTCTATTCAGTTCATGATTGATTTGTTGACTTTTTAGGGAACTTGTTGGTGTTCAATTTCTGCCTCTGGTTGAAAGAGATTTGTTTCAAACCGCCAGAAAAATATCAATTATGTCGGTTGTTCTACTGCCTAATTGTTTAAGTTATTTTGTGAAATTTTGAATAAGGCAAAAAATAGGCGTTAAATTGACTGGCTTGAATTATGATTGGCTAAAAAACTTATCTTGGTGCTTGAAGAAAAAGTTTTGACTGAGGGTTTACAATCAGTTTTGTTCAAAGAAACCAGATAATCTCAGAAATAAACTTTTTAGTTTTCTAACATATAGTGGATAACTGATCAAAACTGGATAAAAACAATTTTGTATACGGTTTTTTTAATGAAGTCTCGGTAATTTTTCAGTGTCAGATCGGAGGCACGACGATCTTCGTATTGTTGATTTTTCAACAATAATTTTTTCTGCGATGTTTTTGTTTCGATTTGATCATTCTCTGGTTTAATAAGGTTTTTCAAAACATTGATATGTTTCTTTTTAAAAGTTTGATTTTTTTCTGATAGTGTAGATGTAAATTAATCGGACTCAACGAACGACGCGTTTTACTCAATTTGGGTTATAGAGTAGACAAAACGTGAAACGACAAAACGTGAAATAATGCTTCTAACTTTGAGTTGCCCTAGACAATAAATTGGCACTTCGGTAACTTTAATTGTGGTATGTCTTTAAACTTTACAAATTTACATGGTTTAGTGAGTAGCGCGGGATTTGAGGACATCCTCTCAGGCAGAGACAAAAAGTTCACCACTGAGCCCACCGGTTTAGATAGTGTTTTTGAAAAATTGTATAGCAAAAAGCCGGAAGTTAATTTATCAATTCTTTGACAATAGAAGAACAAAAGAATTCTCGAGAGGTTCAGGTTTTTGTTTGACAAGGTGATGAAATTCCTCTGATCTATCTACGCTGATCGAATTCCGGAGAACTAAGTCAAGTCTGGAGTCTGGATAATTGTGGGAGATTTTGTGTCTCGGAAAGTGTTATATTGCATTCTTACTTGACACTAATTTTACTCAGACAAGGTAATAACAACCTCAGTAGTGGTTACGTAGCAGTATCTAGACAACCGCGTATTCAGACACTGTATTAACCAATCAGAATCGAAAAAAAGGAAGATATCAAAATCATTTCTTCCTGGTCTCGATTCTGATTGGTTAATAGAGTGTCTGAATACGCGGTTGTCTAAATACAGACCGCACTCCCTTAATAGTGCAGAGAGTTATTAACCACCTGCCGGTCAAAACACCAAAGTTCGAATCTGTTTTGAGAAATTCTTCTTTCGCTTGACATCAAAACTTTATCAACTTAACTTTCGTTGACTTTGACTTTTTTGATATGATACTGTCTGAGCCGATGGGTTAGCGGCAAACTTTTTTGTCACCCTTTCATCTACAAAAGCATGAAAATTTTGAGAACTTTGAGAGAAAATGTTCTCCAACTTCTCACAAAAGTTAGTTGCCAAGCTTGAAAGTATGAATGAGTTCCTTGTCTAGAAGTATAAAGAGAATCCCTTTGTTTTTATACGGGTTTGTTTCATGCGAGGAGAATATTGTCAACTTCTTCAAAGATTTAGGTATTCAA